CACTAGACTGGAGTGTCGAAACGTTGGGTCTTGATTACAATTCGACTGGGCTTTGTAATCATTTATTTAAACCAGAGTAGCGAGCGAAACATGATATTCCCTATGGTTATGGCGGTCTAAATTAAATCATTTCTGCCTTCTGGGTTTTTTCAGATTGAAACCAGTTGTTCAAGAAAATGCATATGTCATGAAGAAATTATATTCTATTTCAAAAACTTGTAGTTTAATGATAATGAACTTTGAAACATTAATTCTGGGGTAAAATAGAGTCAACGATGTAGTGTCAGTTCTTAAAACAAATAAAGCATAAATGCAATCTTTTTCGCGATTATTTTTTTATTACTTAGCCCTTAGTACGAGGTTGAACATTAAAGCTCTCTTTCTTGTATTTTTTGATAATTGCTTTTGTGTTCAGAACTATGAAATTGCTTGGTTCTTTAGAAAACCTTGGCTCAATTACAAGCAAAAATGTTCGGTGCAGCTGCGAGAAATATTTAAAATTTTTAACTAATTCTTGTTAGTCCTCGAAATTATAATAAAAGGCATACTTTTCAATCCCAAAAGGGCGATCCGCGATACATTGCTCCGCAACTCCGTTTCTGCAACTCTGTATTTCCGCAACCCGCACTTTCAAATCCGCGATTGATATAATTTCACTTCCGGTCAATGTTGAATTACGTCATTTAATTGGTTCGGGAACGGAAGTTGTGATTTCTGAAAATAATGTTATGGATGACAGAGAGGATCGAAGCTGGCGAGAAGGGCCAAAATATTCATTTAAAATCATTGTTTTGGGTTCGAAAGGCGTAGGGAAATCAAGCCTTCTGAAGCGGTTCCAATTCGACGAATTTGAAGATGTTCCGTCGCATACGATTGGGGTTGGTTTCTCCACACACAATATAACAATTGGCTGCGATTCTGTACAGGTGAGATGCTTGAATATTTGAATGATTCGAACTAATTTGACAGCTTGCATGTCTTAGAATTCAGTGTTTACATGTAGCAATTGTCAAACATACATGTTTTATTTTCTTTCAATGTAAAAGCTGACTCTATGGGACACGGCTGGGGAGGAAAGATTCAAGTCGCTGACGAGTCAGTATTATAGAAATGCTGATGCTGCAATTGTTGTTTTTGATTTGACATCAAAGAAATCTTTTGAAGAAGTGAGGGATCATTGGATTCATGCTTTCAGGAGAGTTGTTGGGTGAGAAAATAAACGATGCTAAATTTATTGTGTGAAAACCAAACTAAACTTACATGGGGCTATTCGATTTAATATCCACACCCCCCTGTTGACCAGGTTACTGATTTTAGACCCCTTCGGAAACGGTTTTCCAGAAGACCCCCTCGGAAATGCGCTATTTTTTGTAAAAACCCTTCGGAAATTTATGATTTCCCTCAAACCCCTCGGAAATACCTGTTGACGTGGTTCCATTATGATACAGATAGACCCATCGGAAATTTTCGAGAATTTATTAACCCCCCCCCCTCAGAAATTTTCGTCAACAGGTGGTACCTTTGTCCTCCCCCACTTGGAAATTAAAAAAAATTTTGTCCCCTTCAGAAATTGTACTTTTACAAACCCCCTCGGAAATTTCAACGGAAGTGTCCCCCAGAAAGTTCAGGACCAGACCCCCAGGTGAAAAACAGAGGTACCTAGTTTGCAATGGCAACACCATGGGGGCGGCCATGCTGCCCCCGCAATGTGTTTCAGAGTGTAGTTTTAAATTGATTCATCTCCATGCAAGTGCCTCTACAATGCAGGAATTGCCATTTCTGAGACCTGAAGTTCAAATTTCATACTGGCAAGCTCTATCAGTTCTAAACTGTTTTCTATATACAGTAGAGGTTTATTAACCCATTGGGCCACAATGCGCTGCAGTGTGACCTACTTATTTTTTTACTTGTCTAACGCTGGACGATTTTACTCATCAATGGGGAAGCTCTGCAACTTAATGGGTTGAGCATTGTAAACCTAAACTACACTAATGTAATCTCTAACAGTTCTTAACTGTTCTCCTTGGTACAATTTAGAAGCACAGCATATGTTGCACTAGTTGGAAATAAAAGTGACCTTTTGGAAGAAAGACGGGTTGATAAAAACATGTTTGAGGTATTTGCAATTTTTCACATTTAATGATTTTCAGCCATTCAGACACTTAAGGTGGCACTGCTCCTGGTTTAGATTGTGGGCTTTTATTTTTTCTGAACTTCATTTCTAGGAATTTGCCAGCCTGTACTGTATCCATCCTTGGGAAACAAGTGCGAAAGATGCCACTAATGTTCAAGAACTTTTTAAGTCAATGGCCAAAGAGTTAATTGAACGTGTTGCTCAATTACAAAGTTTAGACTCGGCTCCAGATAGCCTCTTCTTGCATAACGTACCAGATAATCCACGCTCAGATTTGTATAGTTATTGCTGTAGCTATACGTGAATATTTTGTAGTTTTTGTATCAGTGGATTTCAGCAAGTACTATATGAGCTGGCCAGAGATATCAATGATAGTCTAAGTCATTGGTCAACTTCACAGATGTTGACTATTCAGTATTATAGGAATAAACTTAAAGGCTGGTTTAGACAGCAAACTTTTACAGTAATGCACTGAATCTAGTACAACGATTAAGACTGACAGAAGAGTGGTATCTAAATTAATTAATTTACTTGGCAAGTTTTGATTTAGGTTTGAATTGACACAGCACAAAATACAGCGAATGACATGCATAAATGCCATATATTCTGCTACAATTTGGTTCGACCTGGGAATTACCTAATTAATGCAGAATTTTTTTAACATACATTTTCATATGATTTATATGATATATTAGCAATTTAGCACTGAAATTTCTGATATTATATATGGTACAATTAATTCAATGTCAGTGATGTCTAAATCAGTTGTTGAACTAATTAATGTGCCATATTTAATTTGATTAAGTTCTGTGTGTCATTTAAGTTTGCTATCTAAACTGGACCTAAGCAATAATAGCTAAATCTCTCAATTCTTATAAATTATACTAGCTTGCTTTCAAATATAAGACTCCTATGTATATTATTACTACATGTATCTAACTCTGCAGAGAAGTGCCTAGTGAAATGCACCTATTGCACTGTACATGTATAAGTAATAGATGAACTAGAGAGGCATTGCAGGGCCTGTGATGCACGTCTACTTGTATTTTGACAAAAATTCTTAAATTGTACAGAAACAATTAGGAATGGTGCCCATAAGATAGCTCTGCCCTGGTGGTATATATTGCACTTGTGGCATAAAAATTTATTCATATTTTTCAATTAATTTTTGTACATACAATAATTGTGTTTGGCATACGGTATTTAATTTAATTAAATAATATGCTGCCTAACAAACTTTTTCTCTCATTTGGTGTTGAATTAGTAATTTTTATGGTAATTGTATTGTTGTTGTAATTGTTGCTGTTGTATTGGTGTAATTGTTGATCGTTCTATTAAAAAGTAGTATGGATAAGCCTTAGCTATCAGTTCTAAACTGTTCTTTCTAGAGATCTTCTATTGATCCAATTTACTACAGGAGGAAGCCGGAATTGGAAGTACTCACTCGGAGGCCGCGGAAGCACCTCGAAAATGGGGGGGGGGGTACTGACCAGAAAGGGCACTTAATTAAGTCAGCAAGCATTCTAGCTCGGATTACACAAATTTAATTTTTTTACATATTTTTATTAAAAAACACCTCCCCCCCCCCCTCTGTGACCCTTGCCCCCTATCATAGAGGAAAGTCAACAGCAGTTACCCTTGGTCGACCTTGATCTCCCTATCACAGATTAACATAAATTATTTATTCTGTGTACCCAGTATCACTTCCGAGTCGGCGTGATATTTTTAAATGTACAATTATGAATTATCAAATTATGTAATTCATTTTGTTGGAAAGAAGGAAATACAACAGCCATTCTGCTGTCAAACAATTTGTTCTTAAAGTCTGATCTATCAATTTAAAATGAAAGGAAGAATAACAGTATATTCAATAACTGGCTGTCCGCATTGTATTCGAGCGAAGAATAGACTTCGTGAGCTCGACTTAAAGTACGTTGACATTAATTTGGAAGTGTATACAAACAGTCGAAGTGAGATGAAACAGCGAACGGGACGAAAAACTGTGCCTCAAATATTTTTTAATGCTAAACATATCGGTGGGTTTGCTGACTTCGATGCTTTGGTGAGTAATGCATGGTATTTTACAGTGTTTCTTATGTAACTTGTAATATATTATATATATATATATATGACATCTAAATATGTTTGACTTGCCGTGACTCTGGTTAAAAATTAATAACTCTTCGCCTTGAATATATCACTAATAATATAATATTAGGTTTAGGGTAGCTGTGTGGGTTTAGGACACAGGGTTTAGGATATACACTCAAGGATACCAGAACAGAGGGGGCAGCCCCTCTTGCTTTTTGCTAGGAGGGGCAAAGGGGCAGAAGTGCCCTTTGAGTTATAAATTACTACCTGCTAAATCTTATTTCCGGTGATGCTTTTTGGGCAAAGTCATGAGGTGTGATCTTGAATGTAAGTGCATTTGCGCAGTTATAGTTCCTTGAGTATAGGCTTTATTGCTAAAACACAGAACAGCGATCGTCAATGAAACGTGCACAATCAGGCTCTCATTGACAAGTCAACACATCTTCTTCTGTTATATCTTCTCCGGGGTCTATAGAGGTGCCCTTTGGTGTGCGTTTGCCCCCCTTGCCTTTTTATAATGTTCTGGCATCCCTCAGTGTACAGTAGATCTAAGATTGATCTGCTTAACCGGACAGCCAGGTAAGCGGGATGAATTTTGCTTGTGTTTGCATGAGAAAATTCCCAGAAGTTGATCCATATGATGAATCATAAAATGTCTTGCTATTAATTAATGCTATATATATATCTACATTCTAGAGTGCCAGTGAATTGGATGAATTGATTAAACATGTGAATGAAAATGAAGCACCTGATGATGCACCACAGATACCGCAAGAGCCGGAGAACCAGCAAGGTATAGCAAGATAATTATACACGTTTTGAATCTGTCACTTTTATTACCATCATCACCTCGACCATCATCACCTCCATCATCATCACCTAGCTCCACCATTATAGATGGTCAGTACCAGATGATGGGCCAACCTAGATTCTGACAATTTCAAATCATCACCACTGTCATCATCATCACCACCATCATCATCACCATTATCACCATTATCAACATCACCATTATCACCATCATCACCATTATCACCATCATCACTACCATATCATTATCACCATCATCACCATTATCACCATCATCACTTTTTTCACCATCACCACCATTATCAACATCACCATCATCACTTTTTTCACCACCATATCATTATCACCATCATCACCATTATCACCATTATCACTTT